ACATTTTTTGGCATGGGGACATCGTGATTTTGGCGCCAATATCGACGACATCAAGCCTTCGCTGGAGAATGTCGGCTTGAAGTCTTTACCAGGCTCAGGCCTGGTATCCGAACCCAATGTGTAGAGATCATTTGAGCTACAGTCTAAACTCTTTCAAGTGGGTTATATAGCTTTTTATATAGGAGACTCTATAGGGAGTATTAAGGGGGATACTTGGATTTCAGATTACAGATCATTTGGAGCCTCACTCTATTTTACAGATCATTTGGGGCCTCACTCTATTTTCCGCAGACGCCTAAACCCATCCCTAGGTCTAGCAGCTCGCACCTTGTAAGTTGCTGAAGCATTCAAAGCGCGAAGGCTTCTAGCTCCCAACGGCTCTCAGGCCTCCATCACGAGAGGATGGGTACAGTTGAGGGCTTAGGGCTTAAGGTTTTTGAATTTTGCCCCTCAAAGAATTATAGCCCCTTCCAGGGAAGCGGTTGCAGTTATTCTTGCCACACGTGGGCTGACTGGGTTTCTTTTTCAGATCGTTTGCTGGTAGTGTAAATACATATCCGGGAAGACCTCTAGTTCAGGATCCCAATGGTGCGGCACAAAACCTTCAAAACCCCCAATGCTGCAGCACCAAACCCTTCAAAACCTTTTAAAAACACAGAAGGAAGAAGACCATGTGCATAATGCAGTCCTGGGTTTAACCCCCAAGCTTTCGAACATGGGGGCCGGAGGTGCAGTTCCGCAGTGCAAATGACCTGACAAGGGGTATTCTCGTACCTCAGGGTATACAAAGGTATCCCCAATTGTCGGAAATTCTGTAATCCTCAAATTGCCTGAGTACCAAAAGCAGGCACGGGCGTCTCCCCGACTGGTCCCTCCGGATCCCCGCGGGCTGCAGCCAAGTTCCTGCGGGAATTTGACCTCTCACCTGCAGCGGTACGGCTCCAGGAAGACCTCTCTATGAGCCCTGGCCTTTTCAACGGATAAGGTATGTATATATGTAGATAGATATATATATATATGTATATACAAAGAGGTGTATGGAGGCATATAGAAAACGGGTCTGGGCTTTAACCGGGTGATACACGCATATGTATGTGCACGTGTATACACGCACGTATACATATATATATATATGTGTGTGTGTGTGTGTATATATATATATACACATACACACACATAGTTAAGGCTGCTTTGCCTTGACGAGCTGCTTGCTTGGAGTTTCTGGGCTTCCGAAATATCAGATACTTTGAGATACAAAGTCGTTTGTACGGTTAAACGGCCTACATGCAAGCCATCGCGTCTGCAGCATGTAGCGAACCAGGCATACACCGCACCCGCAGAAAAAAAAAAAAAAAAGAAACATCTTCTTGAGCCGATGCCTTTTAGTAGCCCCGTCATAGCTCCTCATAATGCTCCCTGTAATCCATTCCTTAATTTTCTTTTAAGCACAAAGGAGATTCTGCTACCCCAGAGTTCCCTCCATCACTACATTGGCACAGATCGTTCACGTAGTTTTGACAGCTTTGCGCGACACTCCAAAGCCCTCAGCTGCAAAGCTTTGCGCCAACCCTAAACTCACACAGCTTTGGACCGAGCAGCGCGCCACCAGCTACGCAGAAGGATAACTCCATTTCGCAGTTTGATCAAAGCCCTACCTTCAGGCCATGCCTACCATAACCCCCCCCAAGAAACAATGACAACAGCTGTCCTAAACCCTAAACCCTAAACCAAAGACCACAACCTGAGATCCATTCGCAGCCCAGGAGTTACAGCTGTGTTCAAAGGGCCACCCTCAAGGTTGCCGGTAGCGAGGCAGGTACTGCTAACCCCTGGGATGCTTCTAAGGAACTCTAAATTAAGTAGTCAGAACCTGGACCCCAAAAGTATGTAAAATAATGGCCTTTATGGCTATTATTCTGGGTTTAGGGCCATTATTCTACATACTTTTGGGGTTTAGGAATAGGGTACATGGTCTATAAGAGGGCTTCCTCGTTATAGTAACTTAATTTAAGTTCTTGAACAGCAACCCAGACTACTGGTGCTTAAGGGGAAAGTTGGGGAGTGGATACTGCCCACAATCCAAACATAATCACCTGTAAACACTACAACCTAAACCCTAAAGCCTACACCCTAAACTTATATTCCCTCCCCAACTCGTGCTTAAGCACCAGCAAGGAGGTTGAGGGTTCAAGATTCCTTCCTCATGCGTAGTGGGGAAAGCAACAGTTCATCCCTCTACGTCTTACAAAGTCTTTGTGATCTCTACATGCGGCCATATGACCCCGGGTCCAAACTTATTTCGACAAAAGGTGTTGTTTTACATACCTTTGGGATTCAGCTAAAGAGGGCTAGACCACACAATTTCTTTTCAGGTTTCAGTAGCTACGTTCAGATTATGTATGCTGTCCGGCCGTGGACTTCTCAAGTAAGTTGAAGTTTCCGCACATGTCCTGCTATGATCCTCCCTATGTAGGGACTCCACGAGGGGCCCCCGGTTTTCGGAAGCCCCCAGTTTTGTTTTGAGCAGTTTTGTACTGACTGGGTGATTCGCGCGGAAGGCCTGCACCGCATGTTCCAGTTTGACCCTAAACCCTGCTTCTTCAACCCTAAACTAAAAAGCCTATGTGGGCTTGGGAGAGCATAGAGAAGAGGGTTTTCGCTGGTTTATCCAACGGGCTTGTTGCTGATTTGAAGGCTTATGGGGCTCCGGGGCGTAGGGTTTGAGATTTGCGCTGAGGGAGTAAGGTTTGCAAGTCATAGGCTTAGGGCCTAGCGTATAGCACGGTTTTGAAATGACCCGTGACGCAATCCATGCTTGCGGCCGCTGATCTGCCGCTGAAAGCCCATATTTGCCAACCCTAAACCCTAGACAATGCCGTTTGGGGTTCACAGAGCCAACAAGCGGGAACGTGGAAACAGCATGTCGCCCCAAATAATGGATAATCAAATGGACTAACATGGAAACAGGGATGATCTAGGATTTAGTTATACATTATATGGCGGTTGATCTAAAGGTCCTTTGGGGAATTTATTGGCTCAGGCATTTTTACCCCTTTGTAGACCTTGGGGTAGGAGGATGCTGATGTTCCAATTTTCTGGCTCCTAAAGAACTCCTGCGGACTATTGCTGAGGCTTTAAGGGCACTCTACGGAGGACTATAAACCCTAAACCCCATAGACCCTAAACCCCAAACCCCAAACCCTAAACTCTGAACCTCTCTGCCTCCGGTTAAATCGCGTGGGGAGAGCCCCAGACCAGCCTCAGAAATCCTTCGCGTTCACTTGGGGTCTTCAGAGCTTTTGGTTTGGGTGCAGGCTTCGGGTTCTGGAGTAAGGGTTTTGGGGTCAGAGTTTAAGTTTCAGGGGTCGGTTAAGGCTTAGCCGCGCAGAGCCTAGATGCAATAATGACCATTTCGAACGGGGTGTAGTAATGCCATTCAGGACCATGAACACACCTAGCCTAGAGCTATGTGTACTTTTGGGTGATTTCTCGGCCCACACAGAGAAACATTTCTTATCGGGGGAGTCGGGCTCGATAAGGGACGCCTCATTGTGATAAATCTTTACGCAGGTCGTGTTTTCCCAACCTAAACTCCAAATCTCCTTTCCTTCAAGCCACAGACTCAGTTTATTGCTCGGCCCACTTAAGCAAAAAGGCCACTAACCCTGCCTCAATCAACAAGTGGCCCTGACTTGTAAAACCCGAAAAAATCTGCGTGTGGCAGTTCCCCTACATGAGGGACCTAATCTAGACCTCGAGATACTAGTTTCCCTACAATGTTTAGGGTGTAGGGCTTCGGGTTCAATATAGGCCCCACGATATTATAATCTTAGTATGGAGACCCCGCAAAAGATTTCCCTAATCCTGGGGCAGCCCCATGTCTTACAGCCCTGCCAGGTTCCAGCAGTTGTCAAAACCATGCGAGTATTTGATTCCGACCCCGACAAGCTGAAAGACCGCCTGCTGCGGATGAAGCAGGATGAAGCAGGGTGCAGAATGTTAACAAGAACCATAGTCTCAATTCCTTAAAATCGGGCTATAGAGGGAGATACTAGGAGTTTAGACCGTAGCTCACATGAAGCAGGGTTTAGGGTTTCGGTTTCGGGGTTAAGGGATTGTATTCCAGGGTGGTTGAGGGCTAGCCGATTGGAGGGCTGGAGTCCCTAAACCGCCAAGTCTAGTGTTGAGGGCTGAATGTGTATCAGAATGAAATACGTGTTGAGTTTAGGATTAATGGCTTACCTGGAGCCTCCAAATGACGTGAAAAAAACAGCCATTTCTTTCAAGAAGTGGACCCAAAACCAGCCCGTGAGGCGGAATTCGGTTCAGGCTGCTGAACAAAGGCCAAAACAGGATTTGTGAAGGTATTCAGCTCGGGAATATTTGCAAGCATGATTTTCTGCATGTTCTTGTCTTTAAAACCAAGAAAACTCTGAAGCCACAAGTTGTTACCCTGAATTTTCAAGGTCAAGCAACACGGAAACCTGAAGTCAAGCAATGCAAGCCTGAAGACAAAGGCGGAAATGGCCGGAAAAAAAGGCGGAATTAGGCGGAAAAAGGCGAAATTTGCCGGAACGCAGTCATCGCGTCAGGAACAACACCTCTTGTTAAAGTCCGCTATGCAGCTGGAGCCCTGAAGCATGTGGCCATTTTGGCTCCGGCGCGGGCGCCCTCAACGGGAAAAAGGCTGTTTTGGTTTGGAATGGATTTTTTTTCTCATAAACGGTTGTTTTTGAAAGTCTTTGCTTTTTTTTCATGCAAAATTTGGCTTGTGGCCATTTTTTCGCGTACACAGAGGGTCCAGGTAGGGTTTACTCTTAGGATTTACGGTTTGGGGCTTATGGTATAGGGTTAAGGGTTTACTTCTAGGAGGAACTTTGAGATAGCCAAGGGTTTCTCTCATTGTTATACATAGGGGAACTATTCGTGAATAATTTTGGGGGCCTTCAGAGTACCACCCAGAAATTTCCCTCCAGATGGGCTTCAGGCCCCTACACCCGCCCTAGGCGGGATTCGAAAAAAGCTGCCCTAAACCCTGAACCCTGGACCCTAAACACCTAAATCAGTCTAGTTGCCATTTTGTTCTTCATGTTTGTTTCCATTCTAGCCTCCATCATTAGGGTGCGATGTGCAAAGACTGCAGGCTATGCAGCGGTACTGCAGGATTGAACAGGTCACAGGTCGCTGGAGCGAGACGTGTACAATGTTTCTGGGAATGACCTCGCTGCTCTAATCCTTAAAAGGCAAAATGTTGTGCCCTGGTACTACATACACTATTCGCCATGGCTTGAGCATTCTCTAGCGAATACGCATGTATACCTTCATATAGGCATGTTTGCAAGAAATACCTCCGGAACTCCACACATGCCGTGCGTAGACTGACAGCTTACACGAGGGACTCGAGAACCTTCATGTCACATCTCTGGCAACTCGGAACCCCGAAAAGCCCTTCCCCCATGCGACCCACAAATCCCAAACCCTAAACCTTACGTTTCTCCGACCTGACCAGGACGTCCCCGATCCTGCTTGAACCCTCACCCTTTAGCTTGGAAGGCCGCGCTAGCTTCAATGATTCAACAGAGGCTACTTCTGAAAAATGATTTTGTAGACAGGGGGACATTTGCAAAGGGGGTGTGGGTGCTTCCTAGCGATTCTTTCTGCACCCGTCTTGCTTCAGGAGCTACAGCACAACAACATTGTGAAAATTTTGGGCTTGTACTGGCTCGAGCCGAAGGTTATGAGTGCCTTTGACTGAGTCAAAATTTATAAGGGGGTTTTCAGGGATGGCCACCGGTGAGGTTTTTGAGTTCAGGGTTTAAGGTTCAGGACAGACGCTGTTCAAATTGGTACACAGGCTTTCCGCTCCAGATGCTGGAGCACACCTGGGCGAGTCTTGTTACGGGTGGTGAGTCGGGAACGGAGCACGGCGTCGTCTGTGCAGGATTACTTGCGCGACTCCTTTCATTGTCTTTCTATCTTGTTCTTTCATCCCCACGTTGTTTTCTATTTGGTGCCTTGGCGTTGTGGCAGGGATGGATGAAATCCATGCAGAATGCTGCCCCACAGTTGTTGCGGGTGGCGTTTCGAAAAAGGTCGTGCAACATTTGGCCCATCAACAGTGCCGGTGTGTATTCCTGGCGGTAGCCATCTTGCGAGGAAATTCATAAGCTGCTGGCCTGTTGGCCTGCATGTGTCACGTTCCTGGAACTCCGAACGTCATGCTACAGCTGCCGTAAATTGCCGCTGCTGCTAGATGAAAACCCTATAAGCGCCACGGTCGCGTTCCCTGAAGTCCCTTCGACGTGGCCACATTACTGTTTACCACGTACCTTTGATTCGGCTCGCGCCTCTTAACCCGAGGCACCTGACCTTAAAATCCTGACTTCTACCCCACGGCCTTGTACACCAATCCCTAAATCCCTGATCTTCTGAACCTGCAATCTAATGCTATAAATCCTACAATGGCGCTCAATTCAGAGCCAGAGCTTCAGGCGTTGTTATGGAGCCAGCAGATCGATGCTTACGACGTCTTCTGACGGAAGAGCCTCAAGTGGCACAACAACAGCAGCTGCCTTTCGCGCAGGGAACCTCGCATCATCAAGACAAAATTCAGGGCGAGCTGCCATCATGCTCTCAGACGTATAGTGATGTAGTGGTTGTCTTTCTATGTCGCGGCGGTAGCGGTGGGGGTGCTTTGCGTGGGGTTCGTAGCTAAGATTGTAGCTAACGCAAGGTTTATTTGTCAGACACTTCGAGGGCTATTGCATGTGTAGCCCTCTTCATGCACTCCGGAAGATAGATGCGCCTGTTGTATGTGTGTATATGGTTATACTTCCTGACACCTGCCAACGCAAGAGTTGTCGCCATGGAAAAACTGCTCCCCCCATGTCTTCAAGAGCACGCACTGTGTCGGTTCTAAAGTCAAGTTGATGGTGGTATATGTCTTCACCACGAACCAGGTCATTTCTTTCTACACAAACGGAGATTTTGCAACATGGCGAGTTGTTACCCTTGTTCGGGAGAGCCTTCGTCTTGCAGGGTAGAAGGGGCTTGGGTAGAATGTTTCAAGTCTTCTTCAACCATGCCAAGTGTAGGGCTCTGAAAAGGAGGAATCAGCCAAAGCATGCATCTGTTCATGCCTAAGCTTACATGACCAGCCCGCAGCTTGAAGAACTAGTCCCATAAAACTAGAAGTCTAACCCCCGATCTAGAAATGCTGGTGGCCAGGAGAGAATGAAGGAATGGGTCACAGAGACCATGTCAGGCATCAATTCCTCCATTCCTGACTAACCACCGGTCAGTAGAGCGCGCCTGGGCAACCCAGGAATAGCTGCAGCTATGATGTGGCTTGGATATTGATGGAGAAAAGGGGGGGCCACAATCCTTCCTTCAAGAATTGGGGTTAAAGTCTGTCAAAGTTGTCAAAGTTCTTCGGGCGTTCTGTAACAGGTTGTTGAGAGACTCGAGGACGAGGGTTCGAATGATGTGGCCTGCACGCGTACGTGCAAACCTATATGCTTGTCGTTCTGAGTTGTGCCATTACAGCGTATGTGGATTGAGGAGCTGCCTCTTCCAGTGGTTCATCATTCTTCATCAAAGCCTCTTTGTCTTATGAGCTCTGAACATGCGACAAGGCCTCAGGTTCTGTTCGTGGAGCAACCGTCATTGAAAGTCTGCGACAGCTATGTGTTTGAACCCTTGTCTCCAAACTTTGAGTTTTAGAAAGCGTGCTAACCCAAACACGAAAGCCTGAAAAAAAATCACGTGGCTGTATATGGTCGTTTCCCAAAATAGGGGGACCCCAATACAGACCCCGAAATACTATGGTCCTTATCATGGGGAACCCCCAAGATGGTACCCCTAATTTTAGGAAACCCCCATATCTACTTGACGGTCGACCCTGAGCCCTGACACCAGCGACCTCCCGCCCAATGATACATGGCAAGGTTTTTGGCTTTCCCAAAACCATGAAAAAAGGTGGTTATAGGGGATATATAGGGATGATGTATATATGTCTATACAGCTATAACTCGTGTGAAGGATTTATGGTTGCCGAAAATGAGGGGTACCTTTTCGGGGGTTCCTTCAAAAAGGATCATAGCAATTTGGGGTGTATATTGGGGTCCCCCTATTCAGGGAAATTACTACAATGCCGAGGTATCTGCACGGACTCGATGAGCCAATCCTGCACCAGGAGTTTATCTGGGCAAGCTAGAATGCGCTCACTTACTTCACCTGAAATCTGACAGAGAAAAAATGGTTCTGAAATTCCGAAATGGTAGTGTCCCTACATAAGGGAACCCTGATATAGACCCCAAAATACTATAGTCCTTATTATTGGGACCCCCAAAATGGTACCCCTAATTTTGGGAAACCCCCAAATGGGCTTAGTCCCAGCTTTGGAGTTTCGTAATTTAATCCCCTCCCCCTAATATTAAATGCCCCCCTACCCCCCCCACCCCCCAAGATTAAATACTCCTATAATGTGGTACATTATAACATGTGGGGAATATGTAGTATCGGGGGTGGGGGTGTATAATATTATGGGGAGGGAATTAGCCAGATGACTGGTAGCTGCAGATGAGGAGTTTAGTTCGGGATTTAGTGATTTAGGGTTTAGGGTTGAGGGTTGCGGTGTAGGGTTGAGGGTTTACAGCGGTGGCAGTCATCAAGTCCAGGTTCAAGAAAATTGAAGGGCTTGGATAGAAGCTTTAACTTGGTATGTTTATATATCACAATTGCTCTGTCGCAGAAGCTGCCACCTGTCTGTCAGCCTAAGGTTTTTCTATTAACAGGCCTTAGCTTGTTTGCTCGCGGTGAGTAGCAGCGAATGAAGGAACCGACCATGTTACGTAGAAGCGCATTTTATTACCATAGCAGACTACTAACTATAGGGATGCAGCTGTCCATTCCCAACCCGAAACTCTAAGCCCTAAACCTCAAGCATATCACAGTTTCAATTTTCTTTCGATTCCGGTCAAATCAGATTCAGCCAGCATGCTTACGGCTTATCCCTCTGTGCCCTGGAGGAGTTGAAGCCTGAGAATGTTTTGATCTTTGGCTCGGAGGTCAAGATCTCTGACCCTTGGCGTGTAGCAGCGCGTCTCTTTTGGGTCTAAGGTCCTGATAGTCTATGGTCTGCATGCGGCGTAGGCCCCTGAAACCTTCCAACCTATACTGAATTGTATTTCCAATGATCCCTAATGCTGAATTCTATTTCCATTTGGCCGTGCAAGTGTTGAAGCCCAACATCGCCGCTGCAAACCCTACTCAGACCATCCTATGTAGTTCCTTCTTGGGTAGTATATTATTATCCCTTACCAAAAAACCATAACAGACCCAAAAAGGAACTACATAGGAGGTTTTGGGTAAATCCCAGGCCCCCGAAATCAAGAACTGCCCTAGGCCGGTGGGCGCCAGGTTGGTACCCTCCCCTACAAAGGGATCATGTCAAGGTTATCCGTGTCCCCCAACATATAAGGTCTCTTATGGGGAATATTCAACATGAAGGGTTGCGTGTATTGACTATGAACATCAGGGCATTCTAAGGCTCATGGGCTACCTGGAGTGCGTCTATGCCTCCTACACAGCTGTTTACCTCATAGCTGCCACCTGGAAATCTACTGTAAAACGGTTAAGACTTTGGGTTTAAGGTTTAGGGAATATGTAGACAAAAGGATACCTATAGCAGGCCCCCCCCCATAATATGGGAATTGTCATTTCCTTCTCCCATCCCCTCTCTATGCCTTACCACCCGCCCTGCTTCACAAACCTTAAACGCCAAATTCACAACCCCCTAAACCCTATAGACTCTACTCCCGAAACCCTAAAACCCCAATCCCAAGTCCCTGAGGATGTTGGTTTCAACCTCGGTGGCCGCAGCCAACCAGGCGGGTACAGGGCCCCACTTACAAGTAGAAGGCTTTGCGGTCATTTAGGGGTATTTAGGGATGTATAGGGTTCAGTGTTGTCCATGGAGCCCAGATTAAAAAAGGGGTTCAGGGTTTAGGATGATATGGGGGTTTCCCAAAATCAGGGGCACCTTTTTGGGGGTCCATTTGAGGGTTATAGCATTTTGGAGTCTATCTTGGAGTCTCCTTGTTTTGGGAAACTACACTGTAGAGTTTAGGGATCTATCTATGGGGGATTTAGGATACGGCGTTGTAGGGTTTGTGGATTTAGGGACTTAGGGCCTAGGGCCTGGGGTTTCGGATTTATGACTAAAAGTGGAAAGGGCGCATATTTGGAAGTACTATTGCTTCACATTGCTGCGATGGAAAAGAAATTCTGATCCACCCCAGAAGCCTTAAACCCCTTCTGGTTGTGGAGCCCTAAACCCCAAACCTGAAACCCGAAGTCCTAAACCCTAAACTGAACTTGGACGGGACAGTATTTGCCGTGCTTGCTGTGTGCGATGCGCGTGTGTAAACTGAACTTGGACTCCGCTGGCTGTCAAGCCCCTTTAAGCCATGTAAACGTTCTAGCGTGCTATTAGGCCGCCCTCCCTCAGCTCTAGTCCCGAAATCCCGGCGAAAGCTTGCCCTGGAGATGCAAAAACTGCTGGCAAGCCTCTCCACCTCACCCTAAACCCCTAGAACCCTACCCCCAATAGATCCCCTATATATCCCCAAAATACCTAAACCCCTAGATCCTAAACCTCTAAACCTGAAAGCTCTAAACCTCTAAACCTGAAACAGGGACCTTGGCCTACAAAGCCCCCGAGCTTTTCGACGGTGCCTTCGGCCCGGCCTCTCAGGCTCCCAGGGTAACTGTATGAAGAGAGGGCCTGCTACGCTGCTACAGTGTAGTTTCCCACAATACGTTTAGGGCTTAGGGTGGTTTAGGGGTTTAGAGGTTTAGGGTTTAGGGGTTTAGGGGGTTAGGTTTTGTTTAGGGTATAGGGGTTTCGGGCTTCGGGGACCCCAAAATAGACCCCCAAATATCATAATCCTTATCATAGGGACCCCCCAAAAAGGTATCCCCTAATTTTGGGAAACCTTGACATGCAAGGCAGGGTGTACAGGGTTTGGGGCTGTGGTTCATGGTGTTGTGATGGTTTAGCCCTTGGGGTTCACAGTTTGAGGCTTGAGGCGCAGTGCACGCAGTGTATGGTTTTCGGCATATAGAGACGGAAGTGAAGCAAGATTACAGCGGCTCTTACATGTCATGAGGTACCGCTGTCAGGGAACGATATTGTTCACCATATATTTTTTTTTGTAATGTTGACTCCTGTGGCCCCCCCCCAACCTACAAAAAGGGTAGCCCCTATAATGAAGAGGCCTCAAAATAAATTGGTGGTAGGGATTCTTCGGCTCCCATTGAATCCATGCAGGCTTGCTCGGTCTAGCTTTCAAGAGAATAGGAAGGGCAGTGTCCGCGGCCTTTACGTTGCACGACCTGGTCTTGAAAGCCTAGTAGAAGCAATTACAATCTAATCAAAATCATACATACTCTCTCCAAACCAAATGAAAAACAGTAAGTTGATCAAGACTTCCCCAAGAATTTTTCCGGCCGAAAAAAAAAAATGGGACCACCACCACCCAAATCGAA